AATGTCCCATCCTTGAAAATATGGTTTGTCATCTTGCATTTTTGTGTCTACGCATACTCAGCTTCTCACGCAACCTCGTCTCCCCAACCCTGGCTCTACGCGGTCTCTGCAAAAATTTGCACTTTGCAATTCTCTGTTGAGTTGGATTGGAGTCCGGAGTTAGAGAGTCGGGATGTACCAGTGCACCGCTACTTGCAGTTCTATCTTTCCAGTCATTCTACAGACAGGGTGAAGAAAACTCATACATAGGACAACTAGTAGTGTAGAACATAGAACTTGTACTTAATCAGATAAAACACTTGGAGAAATGATCTTCTAAGTTTAATAATAAAGTCTCCACTATTGATATATCATTGAAATAGTTGAGCAGAATGGTTCTCAGCGCCGGGTACACAAGCAAGGTAAGATTACACAGCAAATTCTTTAACATTGACCCTTCTCGGCTCTGGGTACTATTACTAGACAAATATAAAATGTCAAGTAATGGTGACAGCTTTATTATGTATATATATATACATGCTTATATAATCTTGATTGTATGTTGAATGTATAGTTTAGAACTTTAGATAAAGTTGCAATGTCATTCTCCCAAACTTCCAGTTATAATTAAATTTTCTAAATATTAAATTAGGAAGACTTGTAAACTAGAGCAAAGAGTTCAAAGAATTGTCGAGAAAATAATTCATTAGACTAATAATACAATTTCTCTGATCTGTATTCCTTCAGATTTTTATTTTGCTGTATTAAATTCCAAAGTTTTGTCTTTATACTTTTAAACTTTTAGCAATTGGGCCATGCACAATGTACATTAGAATTTTATCCATATTTTTATCGAAAAAGTCAAAAGTTTGCCAGTATTTCGGCAAAAAAAAGTTATTGGAAAATAACTTTTCTGTTTATTTCTGAATTTTTGCATGGAAAGGGAAAAAGGGGGAGACAGAAGCAAGATAAGGTTATGCAACTTTTTTCTCCTTAAATCTAAAGCAGTGAACTATTTGCAGTATCATGTTTAGAATTTTTCTACTACTGCAGTTTGTTTTCCCAGTGTTGGGATAGGATAAGAAGGAAGGTTACTCGGCTTTATAGACCTGCACAAATTGCAGTTTAAGCCAACCTAGCAATAAAAATTAATTATTCCGAATATTTAAAGTTTAGGGCTTGGCAATGATATTTTATTTTAAATGCAGTTGCAGACTAGAACCCCCCGTCTTAAACCCCGTGCATTGCTTTATAAACACGAACATTTCACGTGTTTTTAATGTATTAAATCCACCAGATACATTTTAAACATCTATCAAGGCATAATGTCCGCCTGTTTCGATAATTTGTCCTTGTTTAAATATTCGTCGTTATTAAGAATACGAGGTTCAGAATACTAATATTTAGTATCTGTCACATATTTAATTAAGATAACTGTATTTTGGTCAAGTTTGCTTTTATTAAACTTTGTGATTTTTCTCTTCTTATAAAGATGAGCTCGATCGTTACAACACGTTCGTTTTTGCATCTTTTGGGATAATTTTTAGATCGTTACAACACGTTCGTTTTTGCCTCGTTTGGGATAATTTTTAGATCGTTACAACACGTTCGTTTTTGCATCGTTTGGGATAATTTTTAGATCGTTACAACATGTTCGTTTTTGCATCGTTTGGGATAATTTTTAGATCGTTACAACACGTTCGTTTTTGCATCGTTTGGGATAATTTTTAGATCGTTCTTTGCATATATCTTCTGTCAGGGAATAAATTTGACATTGTAAGAAAAAAATGTTTAGAATAAACAATTTAAAAAACTTTTGCTATTCTTACGCAATGCCAAATTTTGACCCTGAAAGTAAATATCGGTTAAACAACGAGAAATAACGAACCTGCTGAATACATACATGCCCTGAAATTGAGAACACAAAACAATGCTGATCGTTTATAAAATGGTTTCGAAAATTAGACAAATTTGTTGATAGTATTCACACTAGTTCGAACATCCGCCAAAACCGTGCATCCGCTCTAGTTAGAATATCCGCCAATACCATGCATTCGGCCCTGGTAAATATCCACCAATACGGTACATCCGCCCGTGATAAATTTCCGCCAATACCGTGTATCTTTCCTAGTTTAAATATCCTCCAATACTTTTATCTTTCCTAGTTTAAATATCCTCCAATACTTTTATCTTTCCTAGTTTAAATGTCCGCCAATACTTTTATCTTTCCTAGTTTAAATATCCGCCAATACTTTTATCTTTCCTAGTTTAAATATCCGCCAATACTTTTATCTTTCCTAGCTTAAATGTCCGCCAATACTTTTATCTTTCCTAGTTTAAATTTCCGTCAATATTTATCTTTCCTAGTTTAAATGTCCGTCAAAACTTGTATCTTTCTATAGTTTAAATATCCGCCCGTACGTTGATCTTTCCTGGCTTAAATGTCCGCCAATACTTTATCCGCCTGAATTTAGTTGTCAACCAATACGTTGTATCTGCCATATTTTAAAAATCCGCAAATAATTTGTATCCGCCCTGGTTTAAATATCCGCCCTGATTTAAATATATGTCTATTCTACATCCGTATTTAATTTCCTTTTTCAAGCTCTATACGTATACGGAATAAAAAATAAAGTAACCAAAAATATTTAAAAGAAATATTAAACACGATGTAGAGTGAATTTATTATTTTAGGGTTGTCTAATAACACATTAAGATACCAGTAATGGCAAAATTTAATTGTATTGTCATTTCAGCAGCTTTCTTGTACTACCAGAAAATTTCTTTTCCTACACTTTTTCTCCCCCCCCCCTCCCCCTTCTCAATTTACATTTCAGTCCGTAACTTTTAGACCTTTTTGTCTTTTTTACATGCAGTTCTCTTGCTGTTTTGTTCCTTGTTTTTATTCAATGGATTTGTAATGATCTTAGTAACAATGTTTTGTTGTATGATGATATCAAAATCTAAAATTATAATTTAGTTGAATAAAAATAGTTCTGTACTAAATAAGTCTTTGATACATAAACTGCGAGAAAAGTCCTAAAATTGTCGATGAACTAAAAGCACTTCGAAACAAAGAAAATTATGTTCAAAATTTCGAAATCCTATCGATAGTTTGATATTATTAACAAAATGTTAGAATTTTCTAACAGATCGAATTCCAGTCTTCATAATCAAAATTTATTTATACAAAAAGTTTTATAGCTTTACTATATCCAGAAATTCAGCATGAATTTTTATATTTCACGTTTTCTGTTCAAATCTATTTTTAATGGTGGTTAGCGCAGGGGCTTAATGCAACCTAACGTTTAACTTTTGACCCCATTCCGACCCTTTTAACATTGTTTATTTCTTTATGGATACATTTACACTTTCCATGGTTAGTACCATATAAGGCCTAACTTTTACGAACTGTCCTTTTTCTGTATACATTAGTTGTTGTTCCCCCAGCCTTTCTGGGGGTTAACATTTTATTTTTTTTCACAATTTAATCTAAAGATCACAAACTTGGAGAGAATTTTATCAGAATTAATTATAGAATTTTATTAGATTTTTTCTCATAATTCAAAGTTTATATTTTATTCTTTTACAGGCTAATATACATGTGTTCAGAGTTGAAAAAGTCAATATTTAAATTAAACTATTTCATACTTCTGTTTAAACGAAACAAAAACAAGTGCACTACAGTTAAATAAAGTTTCAAGTCATGCAAAGTATGACCTGTAAAAATGCATTCAGAAATCAAATTATTGACAAAACGGCGTTCCCATTTTCAAACTGCCCTCCCATCCGCTTATCTTCAAACTGACCTCCCATCCGCTTATCTTCAAACTGCCCTCCCATCCGCTTATCTTCAAACTGCCCTCCCATCCGCTTATCTTCAAACTGCCCTCCCATCTGCTTATCTTCAAACTGACCTCCTATCCACTTATCTTCAAACTGCCCTCCCATCCGCTTATCTTCAAACTGCCCTCTGATCTGCTTATCTTCAAACTGCCCTTCCATCCGCTTATTTTCAAACTGCCCTCTCATCCGCTTATCTTCAAAACTGCCCTCCCATCTGCTTATCTTCAAACTGCCCTCTCATCCGCTTATCTTCAAAACTGCCCTCCCATCCGCTTATCTTCCAACTGCCCTCCCAAGCGCCTATTTTCAATCTGCTTATCTTGAAACTCCCCTCCCATCTGCGTATCTTCAAACTTCCCTCCCATCCGCTTATTTTCAAACTGCCCTCCCATCTGCTTATCTTAAAACTGTTCTCTCATCCTCTTATTTTCATCACATCATCTCATTTTCAAATTGCCCTCCAACCCTCTTATTTCCAATTTGCCTTTCCTCCCTGTTATTTTTTAAATGCTATTCCTCCCATCCTCTTATTTTCAGCCCATCATCTTATTTTCAATTGCCATCCCATCCGCTTATTTTCAATTGCTCTCCCATCCACTTATCTTCAAACTGCCCTCCCATCTGTTTATTTTCAAAAAAACGTATTTTACAGTAACTTTACCTATTCAACATATATATATTGGCAACCACAGTAACATTTATATTTACTTTATATGTTTAGCATAGAATATATATAAAGTATAGCACCTGTTGACCGATATCTCAAATAGACAGGAATGATCTTGTAAACTTGAAATTTTAAATTCATGAATATGAAAAACATTTTTCACGGATTTTTCTGATGAACTTTAAAAACTACATTACTCAGGAATGCATCTGTTATCTTTAAAATAAAGTTTTTTTTTATGAAACGTAAAAACTGCATTATCAAAACACATATTTTTCTTTCAAATGTATTGTCATCTCTAAAACCTCTCTTTTAGTATCTGATAAATAATAGGGTTATACTCCAAAATTTAATAGAAAATAGTGTATACAATTTTTTGGTACACCCTGTTTACTATAATATATTGTAAAAGTTGTCACACCCTGTATACTAGAATATATTGTATAGTTGGTACACCCTGTATACTAGAAAATATTGTATAGTTGGCACACCCTGTATACTAGAATATATTGTATAGTTGGTACACCCTGTATACTAGAAAATATTGTATATCTGGTACACCCTGTATACTAGAAAATATTGTATAATTCGTACACCCCGTATAAATTTTGTTTAGTTGGTACACCCTGTATTCTATAATATATTTTATAGTTGGTACACCCTGTATACTGGAATATATTGTAAAGTTGGTACACCCTGTATACTAGAAAATACTATATTAATTATTGTTACACCCTGCAATATCTGAAACCAAAAAATTCTTTCTATTTTTATTATTTCACGTGTGAATACCTAAACAGATAATAATATAATTAACTTCTCATGTTTTTAAACATTCTTTCTTCAATTCTCATCGAAGACATAACAAAGAAAATTTATTCAAATTATCGATGATCATAGATTTTAATT